ACAAGTAAACTATTTTTGCTAAAAGATAGAACTTTTTCTCCTCTTTCGAACGGTGTATGATTCATGTTCGTCATACATTCGTAAGTTAAATGAGACAGAAAAAAGACAAACACTGGTGCAATAAATTTGCAACTTTTATATGAATTCGTGAAAAACATCTTACTAGACAATAATTAATTTGATCTTTCCGTGCTCATTAAAAAGCCTTTGTAAAACTGTAGCTAATTCGCCTTTTATGAATTCGTTGAAACAGCTTGTAAAACGATAGTTAATAATACTTAACTACCATCTACAAGACGTTTTTGATTGATTCATACAAAAACTGCAAATTTTTTGTGCAAGTAGTTTTCTTTCTTATTCGTCTCATTCCATTTACGAATGTGTGACAAATATAAATCATGCACCATCCGAAAGAGGAGAAAATCTCCTATCAAATGATAGCAAAATTTTCTTTTTAGAGCGTATTTATAAAATAGATATAAGGGTCGACATTTTGTGCGTTCTTTTACAGAAAAATTGAAGATTTGTTTTGAGGATCTCTCTTTTTTGTTGTGTTATTCCGTTCACAAACGTGTAATAAAAATAAATTATACACGATTTGAAAGAGGAGAAAAAGTTTTATCTTTTGGTAAAAAAAAATTCTTTCAGCATCTGTCTATCAAAAGAGAAATAGGAGTCAACATTTTGTGCCATTACTTTTACATCGTAAGTTTATTAGTTAATGCTTTTGTAACTTTGACTTGTTGAAAGTTTTGATTTATTTAAAAAAATAATCCTTGTATTTGTTTCAGAACACATTTGTCTGAATGTCGATACTCTAGGAGGATATATTTGACACTTTTTACATCTTCATTACTAAATGTATTATCTAATTTAGTTTCATTATCTTGAATACTTTGAAGAATATCATCGTCATAATGTTTTAACTCAAGTTTCAGAGAATTTCTCACTGTTTTGAGTAAATATTTAATTGCAGTTTCAAATCATCATCTTGTATGAATGTTTTCACAATCGGATGGTTGTTTTTATTTACCTTTGTCTAATTTTTCTCTGAATTTAACCAAAAATTTTTTCTTTATAGTATTTAAATCCTCATTATATAATAGATTTATACTGTTGTGTTGTTCAAACTTTTTCGAAAATATCTGTTAGTGAATTCAAAGTATATTCGCTAATATCCATGTTTACATATTTATCAACTATTTTCATCAATACAACTTTCATTTGTGATTCCTTTAAAGCTTCAATCTAATCGGAAAATTCTTCTCTACAACATTCTCTCAGTAAAATATGTACTAACATAATTGAATCAACTTTTTTTTTATCTATTTCGTAGAAATTATGATTATTTATCAGTGCTTGCATCGTTTCTAACAAGCATTGCATTCTCTATTTAATTTGTTTCCTAACCTCTTTTATACAATCATCAATTTTGAGTGATTGATCTAAGTATTTTTCTACAAATTGTCTAGCTGTTTCCATTCGATTCAAATTTTCTACGATGAATTTTATTTCTTCTTTTTTCTACACTATTTCAAGCATGATCGCTTGATTCATAATTTTCTCCATCGCTTGTTTTAAATCAGTATTAAGTAGTCATTTAACTTCTTCATAAAATTATGATTCGATCTCACTTGATGATTCTAGTATCATCATTCTAACAGGAACCTATTGATAATGAAAATTTTTAATAGCATTTATGATTTGTTAAGCAAACATCTATAGTTTTTGAAAATGAATTATTTTTATATGTAGGATAAATATCAATATATTTTTTTGCCTTCTAAAAATCAATCAAATTTAATTAATGCTTGTGCAATCGATGGTTTCACTTTTAAAGTTTTAGTTCATTTTGTATATGAAAACGTACTCGTACTTGCCAAACTCTGAATTTGAAATTACTACGACTAGGTCGATTGTTGAAAAGCAAGACTTGAGACTAGCAGATTGATTTTGTCTTCTTCATCAAGAGATAAGTCAATTCGTTTTTCAATTGCTTTTAGCACACCCTTTGAATAACCTGTCAACTTGCCTCGCCTCGTCCTAATCTCGCCCCATCCCGTCATCATCTTGACTCGCCTAGTCTGATCGTAACACGTCTCGTCCAAGTTGATCCTCGCCTCGCCCCACTCCGAGAAAATTGTTCCTCGTCCTGGTGCATCAAATTGTTTCGGTCTCCAATCACGACCATTAAAATAATTTGTTCCTTTTATTTCTTGTATTAGCTACAAACTTTGTATTTTGTGCTTAGCATAACATGTATCGATTTAGTGAAACTGTTCATTTTATTTGGAAATCATAAAAATTCCAAAGAAATTTTAAGTCAGAAAGTCAAAATAAATCGAATTCCTCCGTATAGCATCCAATAAACAAGTATTCTTTTCTTGAAACTAATTGCGTTGTTTTGAACAGTTGTGATTACATTGCCAATGCTTGCTGTCGTTGAATTAGTCGTCTCCGGCTGATATGTCACTGTTCTTGTCGCAATCGTTGTTGTTGGTGGTGGTGTTTGTTTCGGTGTTGTTGTTATTGTCGTTGTTTGTGGTGACGGTATTGGTTTTGGTGTTGTTCTTGTTCTTGTTGTGGTCATTGTTTGTGGTGGTGTTTGTTTTGGTGTTGTTGTTATTGTCGTTGTTTGTGGTGATGGTGTTAGTTTTGGTGTTGTTGTTGTTGTTATTTTTTCCTCGAATTCATTTATAGTTGATTGAATCCAGTCATAATAAAATGACAAACGTGTATAAACACTTGGATGATACTCAGATGCACAACCTTGGCCATAGCTTACGATACCAACTTGTTCCCAATGATCGCCAAGCCATTGATGAATAGGGCCACCACTATCACCTATTTCGATAAATTAAGATAATTTGAGTTCATGCCACAAATGGATTACAAAATAATTCAAAATATCTATGCACTATATGAAAGACTTACATTTTCACGTTAAATTTTCACTGTTTATGTAGCACCCACATCAACGGATGTGATGTGTCTGTGTTCGCGGCACCCGCATCGAGAGAGATCTACTATTTTTGTTAAGAGTTTGAGGTGTCTATGTAAACTTTAATTTTATTGAACTGTCAAGTTTTAAAGTATATAAGTCTACAAGAGTCGACCAGAGTCTACTAGGGTCTACCAGAATCTAAGGGGTCTGCCAAAGTCTAAGGGATCTTTCAGGGTCTACACGTGCCTGAACCTTACTAGACGCTAATAGACCTCTTAGACACCGGCAGACCCTGGTAGATCTTTATATATTATAACTTTAATATTAATAGAAATGAATCAAAACTGAATTATTATATAATTCACTGTTTTTAAATTACGGTGTAATTCATTTGCGTCATACAGTGGATAATTTAGTTCAAAAGACTTTCTTGACTTTTTATTAATTCCAGGTCGAAAAATATGAAGTCGTATATGGGCATGTACATGACCCTGGAATTACGACCGTTTTTCGTTGTATACGATATAAACACAACTCACATACTGTCGTAAACAACAAGCATACGACGAAATACGGCGGGCGTATTTGACCGTATCGTCTGTCGTAATTCATCGTATTCTTCTCATTTACAACAGAATAAGAATTATATTTATATTGCATACGACAACATACAGTCGTAATTCCAGGGTCATGTATACAACCGTATTTTCTGAACCTGAGTAAACTACCTTGACATGAATCTTTTCCACCACCGTCGATCATTGCACAAAATTGTCCGTTACTATCGAATGCTAAAGAAGTACATCGCCAATCATCGTCAGCCAATGTATTAACACGAACTTGGCGTAATTTATCAGGTCGAGCACCTCCATAAGCTACTCTACCCCATCCAATAACTGCTAATCGTATACCTTCTGTTGGATAATTGACACCAGCATTTTTTGGTGGCAAACAACTGAGACCAGCATAACCGTCTGCTGTTGCCAGATTGACTGGAGGTGTAATACGTATCAAAGCAATATCATTAATGACTTTGGGAGCAGATATATAGTTAGGATGTTTAATCATTTTGGCAACCGTACGAATCTGTGAAGCTGGTAAATTTTTATCATGGACACCAATATGAATCGTAGGGGAAACATCTGATAAGCAATGAGCCGCTGTCAATACCCATCCATCATTAATTAGAGATCCCCCACAAAAATGACCAGAAAAAGTTTGACGTAGCGAAACAATCCATGGCCAACTATGTGCTTGTGCTGTTTCACCACCAACAATTCTCTGTTGATTAAAACGACGAATAGGTGTAATTGGGGGTTCATCATGAAATATCACTGGTATTCGCGAACATCCACATGAATAACTTGTATTACAAACAAATGAAATTGGAGGACCTCCAAAACGAAAGTGATTAATGTAAGTCGTTTTTCAATATTTACAATATACCTAGTATTTCTGGCCATGTTGTAGTTGAAGATAATGGTGGAAATGTCGGTATAGGTGATAGAGTAGCAGGTAGATTCTCTAACATTTCCAAAATCCAATCAATAAATGGTGCGATTCTCGTAAATAGACGTTCCGTTGCGCATGCATTACGAAAACTTCCGATACCAACAAGTTCGTATTGTTGACTCGTGCCTGAATAGATCATCACAGGATTACCAGTATCACCTACATAAGAAAATTCCAATATAAAAATATATTATACAAATGCACATACCTAAGCAAGGAACTAGAATACAAATAAAATAATTTTAAGTTAGAAGTGAAGAAAACGAAAACTAGTTTTACCCCTAGCACAAAATTGTGTTCTTGGATCAGATATTATATTTGATGTACATTCAACGCTTTCTTGAATTGTTACTTCCTGTAAAGTAGTCGTTACAATTGTGTCGACTGGATCGAATAAATGCCAACCGATTGTTGTTAAATTCGTATGTTCTACCGATGTTAAATTCGATAATTTGATTGGAAAAGCACTAGATGTATTCAAGTTAAAAGGATATAAAACGCGTACAATCGCAAGATCATTACGAAAAACTACATTAGCATAGTTTGGATGTAAAATTATATCAAGAATTGAACGAACTTGTTCTGTTGGTTGATTTTCACTATTGATATTATGTATACCAGCTCTAATTTTAAAATATGGACTGAACAGTGTTACCTGTTCAAAACAACTTGCAGCTGTGAGTAAAAATGTATCAGAAATAATAACACCACTGCAATTACGTATTAGTACATTTGCAAAATTGAGATGCATTGAAACTATCCAAGGATAAGTACCGAGTTGGGCTTCAGAAACATTAAACACTGTTTCATCGAGTTTTTTACTGATGTAACAAAACGTACAAGTGAAGAAAAGGAATAGTCCAAGGCAGTACATTACGCCTTTTCTCTGCATCAGACTTTACTGTGTACAGAATTATGGGACTAATTTCGATGTGGATGAACACTAAATAAAACAAGCCAGTGATTATCTTTATAAAATAACATCAACCCATGTGAAGGATGTGGGTGTGAGTGTGGGTGTGAGTGTGGGTGTGCGCGTGGGTGGATGTGGGATGGTATGGTGTGGGTTGATGTGGAATGGTGTGGTGTGGGTGTGGGTGTGGGCGTGGCTGTATAGGGTGTGGGTGAGCGTGTGGATACGGCTGTGGTTACACAGAATAATAAAACCCACACCCACACCATACTGAGGGGAAACAGTGAACTTCAGACTTCAAGACTTCAAAAGACTTCAAGTGACTTCAACAACGAAGACTTTAAATTTTGAAAAGACTTCAGAAGACTTCCAATGACTTCATGAGACTTCATATGACTTTATTAGACTTCATTAAACTTCAAGAGACTTCGAGACTGAATGAGTGACCGAGAAGCCTTAGAAATGGCATCAGACTTTTGTACCACGCAAAACTAGGGTAGGAAAGTTACGGTTACGCTAACAAGTAACTGGTAACAGATTCGTTACCAGTTATCCGGTAATGGTAACGGTATGATAGCTCTCTCCCGCCCCCAGTCCCGAATCCTAGGCTCCTCAACTTCTATTTTTGAAAAACATTTGTTTTCGAAAAGCACTTGAGAACCCAAAGGTATCCACTATAGTAGGACTTGAGGATCGAAGGGTATCCGTCAACAATTGAGTGGGAAGTTACCGTTACCGAACCATTACCGAACTGTTACCATTACCAGTTATCAGGTAACGGTTCGGTAACGGTAACTTCCCACCCCGAAATAAAAGTTCACATATCTCCTAAAATAAGATCACCAAAAACCTTACAATTTCATTGTGTTTCTTATGAATTTTTTATACACTAAGTGTACGTCGAAAAACCCAGAAGACTTAATGAGACTTCATGGGACTTCACGAGACTTCATAAGACTTCAAGAGAGTTCATGAGACTTTATGTGACTTCATAAGATTTCGGTAGACTTCATGAGATTTCATAAGATTTTAAGAGACTTCATCGGACTTCAAGAGCGAAGTCTCAGTTGTTTCCCCCTCGCCTCATACCCATACATACACACCCACACCTACACCCAATCCAAACCCACACTCACACCCACACCTACACACTACCTTGGTACGAATCTGATCATATTAGAGCAGCTAAGCTCGATCAAAAGTAAAAAATAAAATTCAAGTATACTTAACTTACGTTATAGTGTAACGTCAAACATGAAAATTCGTTTGCAGATAATGTTCTTATCGATCAAGCACTATTGCAACATGATAAATTTCCAACTTCAAGATGTTTTTTATCCTTATCTCAAGCGGACAAATATAATTACCTCGTTAACTATAAATAAATCAATGTCCCATATAATCATAAATAAAGGAAAAGCACATTACAGAATAATAGTGAATATTGACACAACAAAATACTACGAGATAATCAGCATTGAAATAAAATGTCCAAACCAAAATACGGATAAAGAGGTTTGGGTTGAAGCAGAAGGATAAACTGACGTAGAGGAGACAGCAAATGAGTGGTTGTGGATTGTTTTTTGGTGAAAGCTTGACCGAAATCTAACTTACACTCATATCCACATTTGAACGTACCATGCAGACATTCTCAGAGACTTCGCGGACATAGTACCCGCAGTATTCTAGGTCATGTCTGTGGCATTCTAGCCGGAACATGTAGCATTCCTAGTGATGTGTTCAAACTATCAGATGGTATTTTTAGGACCTGAAAACCTAAACTCGACATGTCCAGAAAGCCCGCTAAAAGATAGATGTGCTACATGTATTAGAATAAAAAATGATGTCCGGTTAATGCTGAAATTTGAATTGAATAACTTTCATTCCAATACAGTTTCAGCATCAGTCTTAATCGGCGATGATAAAACAAAAGCATCAACACAGTTTTAACGATGATGATAACTAAACGTCTATCACTTACACTCACAGCTGGTATTTCGCTGAATGCTGTAAAGTTATTTATTACCGTATTCCAGTGCATAATATGTACTACATACTAAAAGACTAATTTATGGCTCGTAAAGGTCTGAATGTGATCTTCTATGATCTTTATTATGCTCAGTCTTGGAAGAAGTGGTTTCTGCTTTGCGAGAATGATAAGGAGATCAAATTATAACCTTTTTATTTTGTTACTTTTGGCTTAACTACCTTTTCAAGTATCGTCTGATGCTCGCTATATGTATGCATTTTCGATGATTATTTTGTGATCTTGTTTTACTTCCTTTGCATCAGGTGCCGTTTCTCCTTACCATAATATATAGCGTCTTTTTTTCTTACATATTGTAAATATATGGGAACAGTACTGTGGTAAGGACATCTGGATTTGTATCATACACATGTCTTGAGCACTTTGAAGGCAGAGATCGTTTAATATTAGTTTGGAAGTTTCACTACAAGCAAAAAGATTTGGATTTATGGAAGTATACAAAATCATTGTTTTCTGCCCTTTCTCCTGGATTCTTCAATATTGATGATGATGACAACCGCTCTATTAGCAACTGTAGCGAAGAGATAAAAAAATGAAACGGACCGCCCCAAACTGGTAACAACCGAATTTATTTTAAGGATTTTCATGATAGAAGCGAAGGTAGTCTTTTGTGGCCATGCGAATTGGAAATGGATCCAATACAAATTACATCGTAACGAGGCAACGGTGAATTTCTCGATTTAATAATTTCTTAAGGAAAGACTATTCTGCCAATAAGAAAATATTTTGTCGTAGAGTAGCACCAAAAAAAGTAATTTCGGACTCCACAAATTGGAGCCAGCAATATGTTTGTCGAAGTTTCTCAGTCAAGGTGTGGATGTGGGTGTGGTGCCAGCAGTATATGGAAGCGACATCCAAGCTTACACCGGTACGCACACCCACACCCATCTGAGATAGTACTTTTCAAGCTACAACGAATCCGGATACTATACTTTTAGTTTTTTTAAACATTATACGTTCGGCTTCAATTATTGAATAAACGAAGAAAAACTTAGGCCCCATATTTCTAAAATTGATCTCACAGATATTTGATTATTTAGTGTGTATAAAAAAATGACAGTGAATAGCAAAGAGAACGACTGTATAGTGCTAATGATTAAAATCCTATCTGGTTCAGTCTGGTCTCTTAAACTTTCCTAAATGATCCCATAAAATATTTTATCACCCACTTACCGATACTTCTCAGGTCTCAAACGATCCTTCTTCAGCTAAATGGTTATCGGATTCAGGATTATCGAGTTGAATATTAAAACCGATAGAATCTGATTAGATGTAGTGGAAATTCATTCATGGTCTAAAGAACGGATATGATCGAATTCAAGAAAACCTAATAATCAGATTTCTGAACCGCTGTAGAAAAAATCGACATGGCTGTGGCTTCATGTTATCGATGTGAACCTAATGTTTTATATCAAGGAAACACGTACGTTTCTCGCCTTAGTAGCTCTCACACGCGTGTCTAGATCTTCACATTCATTTTTTGTCTGAGTGGCGCCTCTTTGCATGTGGATATGAAGCCCAATGATATTATAAAGATATTTTATAGAGTAGAATATTTGATAGGACATCGAAAAATGTTGTGGACATTCTTCTTTTTCTTGTTGCTACTAAATGGTATATGTGGGCAAGTATCAATTGAGAACTTTGTACCGTTTGGTGGTGCAAATGGCGATGAAATGATGCCGCGTCCATTGGATTCGATCACACCACCCATTCACATCAATATTCGTTTTCCGTTCTTTGGTAAATCGTACGATGTCATCAGAGTCTACAGTCACGGCTTAATTCTTTTTGGCAGTGTCACATACAATTTACCCCATGAACCGCCGAGGCCGTTTCCTTTGCGTAATTTTGTATGCGCTGCTCCTTATTGGGCTGACACAGATATTTCTCAAGATTCTTCCAGCAATATCTTTTATAGAGAAATCACTGATGATAATACATTAACTCACATTTCAAATATGGTACGCAGTGGTTTTCCACAGTTATGGGCACATCGAGTGTTATGGGCATTTGTGGTTACATGGGAACGAGTTCCAGGTCATGCACCAAATCCCAGTCGAAATACCTATCAGGTAGCACGTGTCATATTTCTAAATTAGATATTCTGTGTACGATGAGAATTGTTTCCATCGCTGTCAGAAAATTAAAAATAGAGTGGTAGATGCTTTTGACAGCATAAAAACTACTGCCTTATAAGAAAAGATGTTCACATAAATATATAGATTTACTTTTGAAATGAGATATGAAAATTCATTTTTATTTTTAGGCTATCATAGCAACAAATGGACTTTATTCGTTTACTATTTTCTTATACAATCAATTGGAATGGTCTGCTGGAGCATGGGGCAGTTATCCTCAAGTTGGTTTTAATGCTGGCGATGAAGTTAACTATTTTACTCTAGAAAAATCTTTTACAGCGGATGTCATTACTGTGGTACACGATTCGAATATTGGTGTACCTGGGCAGTTTATTTTCATGACAAATGGTCTTATTAGTGAAGTGCGATGTAATTCGAGTGGAGGCTTACAAAGTTCACCTTTTCGAGGCTCCATGCATGGCGGCTATCCCCTACGGTTATTTGGAATCTGTTTTCATGAATCATCTATCATTGTTGAAATCAATGGTAAAAGAATCAATAATTGCCGAAGTACTTTAGTCTCTGTAGAATGTACTATGCCGATGGTATCTGAAGGTCGAATGCAAATCAGAGTTTTTGAGTCTGGAAATCTAATTGGGCAATCAGAATTTTTATCGTTTATGCCAGAAACTAATGCCAATGTAATACTGAGTAATCACGGTGCACTTGATTATTCATATGCGCTGCGTGAAGATACTCATGTAAATTTATACTTTTTAACAAATGCTCTTACTACAAATAATTTTTTTCGACTTGTAGTCTATGATTACAGTGCTCAGTACATAGTAAGAAATAATACATTCTATAATATAGATACCAACAGAGTTGATTTGCCCAGTCCCCCATTGAACCTTTCTGCAATGAGTAACTTAACCATTCGTTTCTCGTCGATTTTTCCTCCTACGGGTGAACCAATAGATCGAGTCCATTTGTTGGACATCACTTTTGAACTTATTGCATCAAATACAACATCACAAACAAATTCATGGAAAGGAGCACGACAATTTACTGTACGCCTCTTTGTTATGCCTTATTTAGTAACTTTCAACTACTGTCAACCATGGTCTGCTCTGCAATCCGACCTGAATACAATCAATTTAGCCAACGCAGTCCCTGGATGCCCATGCCGAGTAAGAACAACATGGGATGAAGAACAGCTTGGATTTAGTGCTGATCCAGCATGCGACGGGCGTAAATCGGGTATGTTCAATTGTCGATTGCACCAAGGAGCAAGAGGCTGTTATCGAAGAAAATCGACAACAAGTGATGGAGCTGCACATTGTTGCTATAATAACAATGGCGGGTTAATTACAGATAGAAAATTGGGAGGTGGTTCGTTGATAGCCCATTATCCTGAAACTTTAAAAGCATTATCTACATTTCGATATTTTTTCATGGATCGTCTTCCTTACGCCTCATGTTGTGGTGTTGGAACTGAGATGCTTTCCACTTGTGCACAATATATTAGATATAGACGTCCCAGAAGCGCTTGTATCAATTTCAATCTGGAAACTGGAGTGGTAAACAATGATCCACACTTTTCAACATTGGATGGAAATTTCTATACATTCAATGGACATGGTGAATATACTTTACTCAAATCCATTGATAAGCAATTTGAAATCCAAGTGCGTCTCACACAACTTAGAAATGAATCAGCAAATTCTGCATCAATACAATCCATGGAAAATGCCACGGCTATTACAGCGTTTGTTATTCGTAACGAAGATCAACCACGTGTTCAATTTGAACTTTTTCCAAAATTACGACTCATAGAAATCCGAGTCGATGAGAAATTATTGGAATTTACACCGCTTTCTGAACCTGATGAATTATTATCTTCATCGTTAATTTATGGTGATGATCGTCAATTAATTATTCGACAAACAGATGTCAATAGCTATAGCATCTCCTATGGTGAAAGTGGAATTCAATTTATTGTAGATGTTCGACCACAGTTTGATTTTCTCAATTTGATATCTATTATGCCTAGTAAATTTAAAGAGAATCTAAAATTTCAGGGTATACTCGGTGGTTTCGAAGGTCTCGCCTATGCAAATGGAACCTCATTATCGACAAATTTGAATGATGATAAAGCAATGTTCCATTATGGAGAATCATGGCGTACAACAAGCAATTCTTCACTTTTCCATTATCTCTTTCAAGACAATCATGCTCAACATCAAGACCTAACTTACCGTCCTACTTTTCAACAAGATCTGTTTAATATGCATGCTAATACGAGTCGTTATCAAATAGCTAAAAATGTATGTCACAATATCGATCGTGAAGAACAATGCATATACGATGTTTTGATTACTAATGATGCGACTATCGTTCAAATGTATAAAAATTCTGAAACATATTTAACAGATTTGAATGAATACATCATGTTGGTTACAGTAGATATAGAAAATGGAACAATGCCTATAGTAAATGATGAAACCACAACAATGGAAAACATTGACGTCACATCAATAGGACTTGATGAAACTACGACAACACGAAACGATCAAACCACGACAACACGGAGCGATCAAACCACAACAACGCGGAACGATCAAACTACGACAACACGAAGCGATTCAACTACGACAACACGAAACGATCAAACTACGACAACAAGAAATGATGATACCACCGAAATGACACCAAACTCGGCAACAAACTATGCTCTGACTGAACTTTGGATGATTGCTATTTTAGCATTGATCGTTCTAATTCATTAGTGATCTACACGTTTGACTGATGCTTGTTTTTTCAATACCGAAAACATTTTTTTTCACATGCAAAGAAAAAGACCCCTTATCCCTAATATAATTGATTTTTCGATATAAAATAACTAATCTGGAATATAAAAGAAAGGCATCCTCTAAAGGATACTGATTGTGAAATGCATATTCAACAAAATTCACACAGATTCTAGCATTCCATAGAACGAGATACGGGCGTGAGTATGTAATTTGATGTGGGTATGAGTATGAGTGTGGTTGTGAATGGATGTGGATGTTGACGAAGATAGAACACCCACACCCATCCCACACCCGCACCCACCATCAGAATAGAAGCAGGCTAAAATCCATCATGGAGCGTCGAAAAAAGTACAAAGTATTATTCTTTCACTTTCGACTGTGCACATCAATCGAAACATTATTTCAATTCCTTGCTAGCATCACCCGAGAAAAATATTATTTGAGGTGTATGAAGAATCGAGTCCTGCATATTTGGGTCGACTCGGTTTCGTTCTATGTACCAAACATCTCTTTGTCGAAATTTTATTATTATGTTATTAGTTGAAGAATAATCAAATACCACAGAAAGATAAAGCATTCTTTTTACTACCACTGTATATAAAAAGAAAATTTCCTCAAGCTTACTATACGGTATTAAAGTGTCACTGCCACTACTTTTGGAATGCCCTAAGTATATTAAATTTTTTAGATTCGATTATTAATTATACAAATTAAGAGTGAATGAAAACAATTTTCAAATACAAATCGATTAAGATTTACATAATCAGAGTACCTTTTTGAGTCTTTTAGAATTCTCCTGTTCAAAGTACAATTGGCCGAAGCATTTCTTTTCGAAAGGTTTTACATTTTCACTGGGAAAAATCCATTTCTCCTAAAAGTTGTTCTTATGGTGAAAAAACAATATATTTGACTTATGCTTGTAATGACGAAAATGGTGCAAGTATTACTCTTTTATTAAGCAAGTGATTTCATCCGACCTCAATAAATTGAAATAATGTCTGCTATTGTTTTATTACAGGATCTATGCTTGTCTTTACGGAGAGTGAAGTATTTCTGTTGGAAATGGAACAGTTTTTCAATTTTAAGGGATAATGGTCAGCTCTCAAACACATAATAACTTCCAATTTTGACAAACAATTCTTTTAAACTCGAAATACATAGTAGTCAAAGAAAACTAAATACATACTCTCTTTTATTAGTAAAAAAATAATATCACGATTTGGAAATATTAACAATAAACATGCTACAAAAAATTTAATAACAAGAATATCAATCAAGATATCATTGTTTATATGCATAAGCGAATGCACTGAAATAATATACTCCAACAATAATTATAATCGCTATAATTATCCATAATGGTACTATTATCAGACAGATTGAAATGAAATTAATCACATTAATAAATTTAGCAACTTACTTATATAGTTTAAAGTTTGATGCTTGGAAACAGATCAATTTTGTGCATACAAATTAACCCCGTCAATATGCCAAGTGAATATATTAGATATATCATCTGTGCATGAGCTTTCGTATTCTCTTTTTACAGTGTCTATGCGTAAAAGATTATTCTTTTTTTCTCCTCTACAAGTGCTAGATTATATTTATCGTTTTTCGTAATGACTTTATCATTAAATTTTTCGAAAAATAAATCATCAGCATTAGCAAGTGTACGGATTGCTTCTGCAGTTAATGTATCTCAGCAACTCTTCATCTATTAAATATATTTTGACGAGAAAGAAATCCCTATTTCTTGATAATTTAATTATTATCCGATTGTTGTCATTTTTCGATAACGAATAAAGTATCTCTCCGTGGTGTAATGGATAAAGCATGTTTGACTGTAAAAGTCTCTAATAAAGCTCAAAAGTAGATATCAGACGGTCTCGGTTCGATTCTGGGCGGAGAGATTTTTTTGTTACTGAGCAATGTCTACCTGTCATTTTTCACTCTGTATTGGTGATTTTTATTTTGTGTTCCTCTGTACGACTCATTTATGTAGCTCAGTGTATGTGTTTTTTATCGGTTTGAGACAGATGAAAGTAAAAGGAGACGTTATCTAAAATGAATTACTGTCCCAACTTGCCAAAAATTCTTTATTGATCTGAATGACGATTATAGAATCTTTTCAGTGTAATGCCAAGATTTCACGTAATTCTTTAACTTCAACATGATCTCTGATATGGTGTAATCATAAGATATTTCTTCATTCATTAATAACATATTCATCACTTACTTGATGATCATCATCTCCTTAAAATATAGCCTATTAAGTGGAAAGTTGAGACAGAGTTAATTTAGTCATATTTGCAAGAAATAAGGATGTGGGTATGGATGTGAGTAGAGGTGTAAGCCGAAGAGTCAAACAGCGGCGGCGGCCTTAATGGTCAAATTGTTTATCCGTAGTGGTGGCATCTACTAGACTTCACATTTTTCTACGCCGACGGCGGCGGCTTTAATTGTTAAATTTTTTTCCATAGCGTCGGCTACTTCTATACTTTATGTTTTTCTACACCAGCGGCTGCTTTGACAACAAAAAAAAAAGAAAAACGTATTTGGTTTTAAAAAGACGAAACAATGATCGATCACGTATGTATCGATGTCAACGGCGGTGGCGCCTTATACTGTTATAAAAAATTATCGTTCATGGCGGCAGCGTAACTTACTTTTCACAACGGTGGCTCCTAAAAAATCCTTAAAATTATCTACGCTTCTGTGGCGGCGGCGACGATGGCGACGACGGCTCAGCTGCACAGCTTACATCTCTTGGTTGAGTGTCAGGTGTGGGTGTGGGTTTAGGTATGGATCTTCTCTTTATCAGCACCCACACCCACACCCACACATTTCCGCATTACCAAGAAATCTCACAACATTTGACTTCCCATTCGAGAGTTGAGACTTGAGTGCTGCCTGTATCACCAATAAAAATTTCGTAGCAAATGATCATACTTTGTCGGACTTGTGAAGTTATCTTCGAACATGTTTACATCACAGTTGATGGGATTCATTACAAAGTCGTGGGTAATTTCGGCTATTGTCAATCATACGCTTTCAAAACTTCTCCAGGAAGTTCTCTGTTCGAATCAAGTGTTTTCTGGAAATTTTCATGATTATAGCTATTAGTAGATCGGACATTTACGCGAAGATTATCGCAGATAACGGAAACATCACTGCGTTTTAGGATCGCAGTAGATTTGAAACGTGTTTCTATGATACAACGAGGATGTACGGAGCTTTATTTGTGAATAAAAATAGCACTTCAAAACAATGCCAAACTCGAAAAATGGCAAATAAGCCTTTTATGACATTCAAGAAAAACAAATAGTGTTAAGATTAATCGACCTAAGATTGACGCTTGCAATTAGGATTTACTGTGCTCTATTTGTAGTAAAAGTATCACAGAAAAAAGATTCAAATTTAGATTCTTTTTTCTTAGTAGCAAAAGTTTTGCCGATCGGCTACTCTAATTTCATAATAGATATTAAATTTGTCATGGACAGTTTCTTCATGTGACAAAACAGAACCTTGTGAATCACATGACGACTTTATCTCAGTTAACTGTTCGAGCCAAACATTTATTCATGAATAAGTTTCAATCAGAAAAGATGATTACTAATTATTTGCGTAAATCCGGAATATTTCAATAATTGATGGAGTTTGAATTTCAATGATGGTATAAATAGAGACGAACTAGTTGATCAAATACTTGACTCATTTTGAACTGACTTTAAGTTTGCCATTTATCAATAGTCTTTTTGACGCCACTCTATATCAATATTCGAAAAGAAATCCTATTGTCTTTACACTTTATGCTTTTTCTTGACTTGTTTCTGATACCAATATGCGATTCTAATTGACTTATTTTCAGTATGATTATCATCTTTTTTATGATCATATTCGTTATGTATTTAACGGTTGTCGATTATTTATGGATTGTTTTCATCTACGTTGGAAGTATTGATTGGTCACAGTTGTCATATATATCAACAGAAACACATGAACTAATCAAGTTCTAACTTTCGAAGATAATCAATATTAGTGCTTTTGTGTTTATCAAGATACATATAGAGTATTAAGACCTGCTGTACGTATAACAAATGTGTTACGTCAGTGGTAAGCAGAAAAATAATAATTTATTAAACATGAAATTACAAAACAATTAACAAGTGAATAGTAAGAAAACAAAGAAAAGCTTACTATACTTAAGATTGGATTTCGAACTTTTATGTTTTATAAATCAAATTGGATATATAATTTTGAAAGAAAAGTCTTCATTGCATTGATCATTAACAATATTCAATTTCGATTTTGCTTTTAAAATTAATTCGATTTTCTGACAGATGTCGAGAAATATGTCACAATTTGTGGAAATCATTTCAATGAACCGTTAATTTTGATTTCAAAAATTGTAAAAAGATACGTAATCGCATAAGAAAAAAAATAGTACTTCACAATAAACTAATAACTGAATAATTAGAATAGATTTTATTGAAATTTTTTTCGAAACGTAGCCTCCTATTCAGCTCGATCATGTCTAGTTATGTGTTTGAATTCATTTATATTGCAATGAATATTCTTAGCGTTTTTATAATTTTCAAGCGATATAATCAGTTGAAAGCACACTATATTAAATAAATTCTTTAATGAATATGTTCTTCACGAATTGTAAGAAAAAACTAATATGTTATCACAGTCAAAATAAATACTATATTCATTAATTGTTTGATCTCATATTTGCAGTACAGATACATGCTTGGTTTTCCAGTGTACTCTAAACTTTCAGCCATAAACATTGAGACATCTACCGGGTGAGTCATAATGATTGCAACATTTAGTATTTTGCAAATATCTCAACAGAGATAAATCGTATAATATTGATTCTTTTTTTAAAAGATGCGCCATGAAAAGCTGTACAAAAATTGTAAGGACAAATCTCTATTGACTCGTTTGAATGGTATCTCTCATATTCAAGATAA